TTATAAGAGAGTCCCTCCAATAAGGCTAATAACAATGCATTATCACCACAAAAAGCTTTGAGGCACTCACAATCAGCTCAAAAATTTCGAAAACAAACTTATCCAAGGCGACCACCAAGCAATCTTTCACAGTGCAGGTAGGCCTTTGAATGGGATCACGATCCAGTATCATTTTAATCATTCGAATAACCTACAGAACAGCATTCAGCATGGAAAATATCAATCAACAACCAAGCAATCGCGCCCACCTAATTGGACTCGAACAAAGAATGGCCTTAAGAGAATGACGGGAGAAGGTGAGACTAGAGTACAACCGAAAGAAGGGCAAAGCGCGAATAAAGAAAAGCAACACTCTACAATGAACAAATGTTGTAGGCTTGAGTGGGATATCAGACAGCAACACCGGTGCAACACAAATGCCTGTGGGCATGAAAGAGCAAGCAGTGCAACACATCACTATTGGGTTAGAAACCAAAATTACTAATGTTGTATTCACTGGAAACATTGTCGAAAGCGTGACAACCGCGATGACCGAGCAAAAGAAGGAGACTACTAATGCTGCGCCAGAGATCTATAGCTTCAATGAGGTGTACACTACTGATACAGGACTTATCAATGGTGCACGCAAGGTAACAGTTGAGGAGATGCCACCAGAGCAGAATGTAACCTGTGGAAAACCCAGCAGTTTTTTCGAGATATTCGAAAATGAGTCAGAGTCAATCACTGCGGAACAAATGATGAGCAGTGAAAAGAAGCAGGCAATGAGCAGTAAGAAAGAGCAAGCAGTGCAATATTTCACAACACAAACGCCAACTTTCGTTCGAAGCGACAATTACGGTAAAGATTTTATTGAAATGGAGCAGAGCGGCGCAACACATAGAATGATTATTACAAAGAAGTCGCCAAGGAATGATGTTACAATCTCGGCAAAACTCGACAGTTCCGTAGGAGCAATCTCCGCTGGAATAGATTATGATGATGCTACGCGCGCGGTAAGCAATGGAAATGGGAGGACAGTCCGGAGCGTTACACAACAGATTCCTACTTTGGAAGAGAATTACTTTGGAACTACCGTTCCGGGCTCAGGAAATATGGATGCTACACAAACGGGGAACTCAGCCGGAGAGCGAGCGAAGGAGAATATTGCTATTATTACTAAAACAAGAAACTCCACTGGAAAGGCTTCAAGTAAAGAATCCATCATTGAATTAAGTAGAACTAATGCTATACATACGTTAGAAGAGGAATATTTCACTATTTTGTTAAAAATGGTAAGTTCGGATGGGAAAGTTGCTCCCAAAGCGGAATATGCCTATGATGAAGAAAATACCGATGCTACACCTAAGGAAAACAGCTCGGGAAAGCAAACACAAACAAAGAACTATGTCACTATTTATGAAGAGCCAGAAATTGTCACTCCTGGAGGAGGATATGTCACTAAATCAGATAGTACCGATCTAGCGGAAGAAAAAGCTGAAAAAAACGTAACGGTTTTAGTAGAAACAGGCAGCTCTTTAGGAAATATCACCACTGGGACAGGACATATCAATTCGATGTATTTAGCAGATATTATAAATGAGCCAAATGAGAGCACTAAATATCAGTTACCTACTACAGTAGAAATGGCCAAATCACCTCTTATTCAGAAAGATGAGAATATGGTTGGGAACAACAAATACCAAACAATATCCTATGGAGAGATACTTTATTCTGAGAATAAATTTACTACGACAGCATACGATACGGATATGCTTTCATATCGGTTCTCAAGTAGTTTTGCGAATCTCAGTGCACTGCAGACCCAACGCAATACTTACATCAACGGTACAACATGGGGAAAGGTCATACTTGATACGGAGATGAAGCAGAATGACACTTCACACACTTCATCAGAGGACAGTATGACGCATTCCACAAACCCTTCTTCACTTCAGAACATTGCCAAATTAGAGCAAGATAACGTTACGGAAGAAGATATAGTGAGTTATAATTACTGGATAGAGAAAGAAAAAGTAAACACAGTTCATAAAGGGGAAGATTCGATGAGAGCTCTAGCAACTAAAGAAAGTCTCGTCGCTTCGAAATTGAAAGAAGGTGAAGCTAGTGAGCTAAACGTTTCAAATAGTACTTATTATTCTGCGAGAGACACCACATCAAAAGCAGGAATTGATGCTCATTTTTCCAAACAGTACACCACCTCTAAAGAGTCCGTTGACATGACGGATGAGGGAAAAAAAACTACAGAGGAAATAAACTTGGAGTTCCCTACATTCACAGAGGAAACCGTTCCAGGTCGCATATCTTCGACGATATTCTATACACCATCAATTGGTAAACCTGTCCAAGAAAGCAGCACATCAAGCACTTTGACCGCTCATATCAAATGCTCGCGTAACTGTAGCGCTGTTCATCATGCATCTACATGGGCCTTAACTAAACCCGCGAGCTTTTCTGCCACGCTGGAGCAAAATGGAACCAAGTATAGTACTGATTCAAAAATGGTCAAGGCATCCTTTCATCCAACTACTACGCAGCATCAATCCGCAGACGTTACAACAAGCTTGCAACCTTGTAGTGCTAATAACAGTAGCGTCACAGCAAGTGTCAAACGAACAAGCACCAGCGCACCAACAAGTGCTTTGAAGTATACTGAGACAACCATCAAGGTTCATTCGCATGATATTTATTGTGCCTCAAAATTGGAAGTCCCGTAATTTCAGTTAAACAAGACTGCCGAAAATTTGCCCAACGGAACTGTATTGGTCAAGCAACTGCTGCACTATCCAAACAGTACTTATGTTTACTGGACGAGAACCGGTGGGTAACTGATCGACTTGTAACCAAAAACCTTCAAACCAAAACACTCGTTTATCACAAGGGTTATTGGTTATAGCTTACTCCATGTATAATTTATTAATAAAGTCAACGAAAAAAAAGGAAGAGATTTGAACTGCTCGCAATTATAATATGACTTAACTGGATAGAGCCATATTCAAACACAAAGAAATGAAATCGAGTTAACAGTTTTTTCATAAGTGCAACATCCTTCGGAGAGGTTCGCACTGTCCGCTTATTAAAGAACTGAATCTTGTTATTTAACAACGTTGGTAGAAAGATTATCTCAATTCAGTTTAATACCACTTCATGCGCTTTTCTCCGAAAAAGGTGAACTCTCGATCTCACCTTTTAACGCCATCTTCAAGGAAAAAGGCAGAGACCATTTGATTCCATCGCTGTGTCTCCCCATAGCAACAAATGAACAAGCAGTTTAGCACGTTCTTCGAACAATTTGCACA